TGCCCTGGTGCCCTTTGCCTTCCCGAAGCAGACATGCACCTTATTATTTATGATAGCATGTCTTCCAGTTTTACATGCGCCTTCAAAGTTGAATGTACTACACTCATATTATTGAGCAAACTAGATATCAAACATTTAACATTTAGTTTCAACAATTGCAGATAGGTTTGCTAGGGGCAAGAAGTGAAGGGTTAGCCCTAAGCATGCAAGCCTGCTAGTGTGTCATGATTGGCCTGTTTGCTATCAAAGTAAGCAGTCAATGCTCAGCTTGTGCCTACTCTCAATGTGATGTGAATGTGGTGCTCCTATGTATCGCATTTGGTGACTATTTCTATTGAAGAATGTGGTGTTGAAATTCTAATACTCTGTCATATATCCTTCTATGGCTGGCCCACCCAAGAGGAATTGGAGCATTTTTCTTTTCAAAAATGCCTTCGCAGTGCTCAGTGGGAAGCAGCCTCACTGGCAGGGACCTCTGCAAGGGCTCTTTGCATTGCGTCCTTTGCCTGGCTCACACGGTCCAGAAGATCCCTGAGTCGTTGCGTCTCGCGCTCTATTGTGGTGTCGTCAATGCCGATCTTCTCTAACAGGTGCGGCGCCTCCTGAATCTTGTCATCCGCGTCATCCAGGAGGACAATGGTTTGCAGCACCAACTCCCTGATCTCCGCAAGCAACACCAGATCCGCGACCCTCTGCTCAAGCACTTCGGTGGCCGCCATGGGCGAAAGGCTGAGCTCAAGTTTGGGCCAAATTTTTTACTACAAGAGCAGCCGTCTAGACGCACATCAGACCCTCCAAAAACGAAAGGGAAGCTAGCAGTGACACAACTGAGCAACGCTGCATTTTTTGCACTTTCCTCAGCAGCTGCGAGGATGGTATGGTTCTACATGGCTTCACATGACAGTGAGCCAAAGCTGCAACCCCGCCACTCTACAGCCGCAGTTGGGCTGTCAAAAGTTCGTCGACTTATGTCTCAGTGCTCTCACTGAGAGGCGCGACTCCCCGGCAAATCTACTTCTCACCAAAGCTCAGATGACTCCTCGCCATCCTCATGCTCCTCTGCATCCTTCTTGTTTTTCTTTTTGGGCTTTTCCTCAGCCTCCTCTTCCTCCCCGCCTTCCCCTTTCTCAACCTTCTTGGGCTTGCCCCGTCCTTTCTTGGGCTGAGGCTCCTCGACTTCTCCTGCTTTTCTTTTCGGCTGTTTCTTCTTGGGTTCAGCTTCCTTCTTGGGTCCGGTGCCTTGCTTGTCCTCTTCATCGTCTTTGCTCACAGAATCAGGGCGAAAGAAAGTCGATCCTTCGCGGGACAGCTCACCAAGGACGTAGTCTGTCAACAAGAGTTCCAGACAAGCACAGTGGCTCTCAGTGCCACAGATCGCCACTGCCTTGGTCCGGTTGGACAAGCAAGCCTTGAGGAACTCCCCTTGAGCAGGCGAGGCATCAATCACACTGGAGGCGCAGTATGAATGAATCAACTCGGTGTAAAACTCGGAAGGGGCCAGGCTGCAGCTGAAGCAAGTCTCGTGCGCCTCCAAGTCAGCAGGGCCCTTGCCTTCCACAGAGACAATCCTCTTTGCGCTCAGCAGATCCACCTTGTCTTTCCTGGGAGGCCAGGAAAGCAATGAGGACAATGAATGGCTAGCACGAAAATGTTTCATTTGAGTGACCAGCGGAATGCTGCGCATCATATTTAGATGGAATCTGCAGTAGCGATTTTGAGTTGGAAAAACGATACACCATCCCAAAAGCGATACCCATCTCTGAGTTTAGACATGCTTTGAATCAAATTTGTTGATCTTTATGAGCCACTCCCGCAGCCAGTTTAGTGCACCAAGACGGTCTCCTGCAGTGTTTCGCAATGGCTCCACGCACGAAGCAGCGAGTTCGTTTCGATACAAGGATCGGGGAAAGTAGAAAGTCCATAAGTTTGTTTGTTTCACATTCATGATGCCAACCCCTTACAGGAGCTTGCGTTTCCAAGCGTTCAGATTGGAGACGAAGCATGGAGAGAAGAAGACACGTTTTGTGGAGCAGGAGGTGGAGGCATGGAAGTGGCTCATGTTGTGGCCGGACCGGCCGCAACTAGAGGAAGTGCCTGCCAAGTTCCGGGAGGCAGCCATGCAGGCCATGGTGCACAGAATGCAGATGACTAGCAAAGGCAATGACAAATTGCTGGCAACGAAATGC